ACCTGAGATATACCAGGAGTGTGGATGAATTGTACCAACAGCTGGTATCATAAGTTGGTGGGATCAGTGATAGGTAGGTACAGTACAGTTTTCAGTATAGACCTAATATACCACCTGAGATATACCAGGAGAGTGGATGAATTGTACCAACAGCTGGTATCGTATGTTGGTGTGATCAGTGATAGGTAGGTACAGTACAGTTTTCAGTATGGACCTAATATACCATCTGAGACATACCAGGAGTGTGAATGGATTGTACCAACAGATTGTATCATATGTTCGTGTGATCAGTGATAGGTAGGTATAGTATAGTTTTATAAAGACCAAATATACCACCTGAGATATACCAGGAGTGTGAATGGATTGTACCAACAGCTGGTATCATAGGTTGGTTTGATCAGTGATTGGTAGGTACAGTATAGTTTTATAAAGACCAAATATACCACCTGAGATATACCAGGAGTGTGAATGGATTGTACCAACAGCTGGTATCATAGGTTGGTTTGATCAGTGATAGGTAGGTACAGTATAGTTTTATAAAGACCAAATATACCACCTGAGATATATCAGGAGTGTGAATGGATTGTACCAACAGCTGGTATCATAGGTTGGTTTGATCAGTGATAGGTAGGTACAGTATAGTTTTCAGTGTAGACCTAATATACCACCTGAGATATACCAGGAGTGTGAATGGAATGTACCAAGAGCTGGTATCATATATCGGTGTGATCAGTGATAGGTAGGTACAGTACAGTACAGTTGAACATTTTATGACCTTGATGCACATCATTTTGTTTTTCAGATCTGATTTAAAATGCTCAACTGGTGACCATTTTGTTTTAATCAGGAATGCATATGCACATGCATCAGTTTAGTGAATGGCCATAATAATGCAACACATTCATCAAAATCATTATTCACTAATATTCACATACTTTATCTAGGTCATGTATGTGTGAATTTCATTCAAACTTGGTACACACATTGGACATTATGAGATATTGGTTTAAGTTTTTCCAAATAAATTCACAATACTTTATTTCTGGTATTTCAAATTGAAAAACCTCAATATTTAAATACATTAGTTAAACATCAGTCAGCTTTACACATACAGAGAATATGTGAATAATGAATATATGTAGTGAACATGGTTCAGTAAATCATCATGATGATGATTGTTTTTCTCATATGTCAATATCCTAATATCTAAAAATGTTTATTGTTTGTAATAGTTACAGCTGCTGTCAGAAGTGAATCACCGAATCAGTGTACTCCCACTAAACGTCAAAGACTCACAGATACTGAAAACGGTTAGTAATAGTTTATAATTCAGAGAACGATTGATTGTTTTACTGATGTTTTTCACCAACACCATACTGTTTGAGTTGTTTTGTTTGAACCAATATATCGTTGGTGTGATGTGTTCGATGCAAAGTGTGGTGTGGTGTCTTCAGTATATCGTATAGATATATCAGTGTGGATGGATTGTAACTGACATGGTATATTGATAGTATATGTTGTGATCAGTGATAGGTAGGTACAGTCTTCAGTATAGAGTAGATATACATGTGAATGGTATAGTGTGTTCAAGGCTTGGTATGTATAAGGTAGAAAAATGAGAAGTGTAGATGGTCTATACATATTCAATATTATAGGTCTGGTTATTATTTGGTCACTTATTTCTTGGGAAAGGGCATCAAGTGGCGAATGGGTCTTCCTTTCCTTTCAGGCGTGTTAATCACTAGCTTTGATGATTGTAGTTGGTATCATATTGAGGGTGTGTTTGTTAAGTTCAGTATGAAGTTAAAGATATGAATATGAATTATGCGATATACAACTTGTTCTCCATTTATAAATTATTTCATAATTCAATGATATTATTATTTTTTCATATCAATATACACTGCCTAGCATTGTCTATGTGTCTATTCACTTGAATTGTTTATTATTGTCACTATAAAAAATTGTTTACCTGAAGGCGCCTCTTCGTCAACGAGCCCAGCAGTTTCAAGAGAAGTAGAATTCGGGAAGATGCTCATTGGTATTGCTGAGGAAATAGGGAAAGGTAAATTAATAATCACATTTTGTTATCAACATTCTTTTCAGATCTCTTTCATGTTTCAACTTTATATTAAATCATAATACCACAGTAGTGAGTATGTCTGCCAAAAATAAAATATTTACATTTTATATAAAGGTATTTTTAATTTAGTTATTTCATATATTACAAGATTTAGGGAATCAACACAAAGTTTGCTTTACTTATATTGACTTTTGCACTTTTTACAGAAGAATTGAAAAAATTGAAACAGCTATGTGGTAGTGTTGTTTATAAGCTGATACCAAAGGGTGATTTAGAGAAAAAAGAAACTGCATTTGATGTGTTTCAATGTTTGTGTGAACAAACCAAAATCAGCTATGACAACACAAAATGGTTGGAAAAATTATTAAATGAGATAAAGAGGAAAGATCTGGTGGAGACATTTGTACTGCCATATTTATCAAAGAAATATTAAAGGTAAATTGTCTTAAATTAGTACATTAGGTTTTATTTTATTTGATTAAATCAATTACATTATTGATCACTGATTTATATTTGTTTCTAGTTTTTAGATTTATTAAAGTGAATCAACTCATTGTCAAAAATGTGACTGAAGCCAAATTATCTTCTTGGATCATTGTGAGCTAGAGCACACACTTCATCACTTGATAATTCTCGTTCCAGTGAGTTGATAATTACATCCAGCCAGTTTCCTGCCCATCTACAGTGATGTTGTTTTACTGAACAGACAAGACCATTACCATATATACATAGGGTCATTCACACCATTTAATTTAAGTTGTCTTAAGTTTGCTTTGAACATATTGATATAATAACACACAGGTTCACTACAATGTTTTGAGCTTATTGAGCACGATACAATGTGAAAAATTTGTCATAAATATTCTGTATATTTGTCACCTTTCTGGTTTATTACATTTTCACAGCCTGCTATGAACACAAATTAATCTGGTGTGTTTAATAATCACCTTGTTATTTCTGAAATATAATGGTGGCTGTTGACTTGATACAAAACAAAATTGAATTGAACTCTGTGATTACATGATGCTGTGGCCTCAGGTCAGTGCCATGGCAATCTGTAGTTTCAAGTTACAAGCTGGCAGGTCAGTCCTAATTTATTAGCATACCTGACAGTGAATAAATGTACATGCAGTGTCTGAATTTACTGATATCATATTTTAATGTTCAAGGCATGTACAATAATTTAACTCTATAATATGATTTATAATTTTATGTATTCAAAATTTTGTGTCAATTTTAACAATAAATCATTGCCTTGATATTTGGTGTGTACCGGTAGATAGTCCTTAGTCAGATTTGTTCATTTTGTGAGGTTCCATTAAATTCTCTAATTTTAGTCAATATTTTTAGTAAAAAAATCTATTTTCGACGATTTCTTCAAATTGCTAGTCTAATATGAGGAACACATTGACTAGTAGTTTTCTCGCTAAATTTTATATAGATATGTTGCTGTACTATTGTTTTTGAGAACTTTTATACAATTCATGTTATCGTATTCTATAAGGGACAATGAGATTAATAAAGTACATGTAGTATTAATTGAGGAACACATTGGCTAGTACCGTAAAATCTGTATTAGAAGCCACATCCCTAATAGAAGTCGCACCCATTCTTTTTGAACAATTGAGAGCCAAAAATTCATCATTTCTCATATGTGTAGATGCTCTAATAAAAGCCGCATCCCCTCTGTTGCATTGTACCATTTTAAT